AAAATAGTAATACTGTGTGTTTATGCCATAAAAATAGTAATTGTATTTAAGCCATATAAATAGTAAATACTCTAAACGTATACCATACAGCTAGTAAATATTGTGTTACAGCCATACTAATAGTAAATACTGTAAAAGTATACCATGCAGCTAGTAAATATTGTGTTACAGCCATACTAATAGTAAATACTGTAAAAGTATACCATACAGCTAGTAAATATTGTGTTACAGCCATACTAATAGTAAATACTGTAAATTTATGACAGAAATAATAAATGCTCTATATTTAAGCATAGTAATAGTAAATAGTATATCTGCCCGAAATGCTATGAGTGTTAGTGGATTTACAAAAATGTAAGAATGTAAAAATGTAAAAATGTTAAGATGTTAACAGTCTCCGTGGTGTAGTGGTAAGACACTCGCCTGGCGTTCCGCGAGCGCTATGTCATGGGTTCGTATCCTGGCCGGGGAGGATTTACTGGGCGCAATTCCTTAACTGTAGCCTCTGTTTAACGCAACAGTAAAATGTGTACTTGGATGAAAAAACGATTCTTCGCGGCAGGGGATCGTATTCCAGGGACCTGCCCGAAACGCTACGCGTACTAGTGGCTGTACAAGAATGTAACAACACTTGTATATATCTCAAAAAAAAAAAAAAAAAAAAAAAAAAATTGTATATATAACAAAAATTTAATAATTACTGTGTATCTAAGCGACAGAACGAGTCAATACTGAGTTTTTATACCATAGTAATAGTAAATACTGTGTATTTATGCCATAGTAGCAGTAAATACTGTGTATTTATGACATAGTAACAGTAAATACTGTGTATTTATGCCAAAGTAACAGTAAATACTGTGTATTTATGACAAAGTAACAGTAAATACTGTGTATTTATGCCATAGTAGCAATAAATACTGTATTTATGCCATAGTAACAGCAAATACTGTGTATTTATGCCATAGTAGCAATAAATACTGTGTATTTATGCCATAGTAACAGTAAATACTGTGTATTTATGCCATAGTAGCAATAAATACTGTGTATTTATGCCATAGTAACAGCAAATACTGTGTATTTATGCCATAGTAACAGCAAATACTGTGTATTTATGCCATAGTAGCAATAAATACTGTGTATTTATGCCATAGTAACAGCAAATACTGTGTATTTATGCCATAGTAGCAATAAATACTGTGTATTTATGCCATAGTAACAGTAAATACTGTGTATTTATGCCATAGTAACAGTAAATACTGTGTATTTATGCCATAGTAACTGTAAATACTGTGTATTTATGCCATAGTAACTGTAAATACTGTGTATTTATGCCATAGTAACAGTAAATACTGTGTATTTATGCCATAGTAACTGTAAATACTGTGTATTTATGCCATAGTAACAGTAAATACTGTGTATTTATGCCGCCACAGTAACAGTAAATACTATGTACTTATGTCATAGAAATTAATTCGTGGCAACCCTTAAGATGCCATACTCATTCGCCGTCACACGTGACAACATAAACAACACGTAATTGTTAATGGCGCCGTTGTTCTTTATTTAAGGCAGACTATTTTCTGTGATAGTCACGCCAATCGTTGACTATTGCCTCAAAACAGATTATTCTACTGGAGTAGTGAGGGTAGGATATGTTAATCAGAGGAGGATAAATTCAACTAAGGATTTGTAACTGGAGGTTGATATATTCAAGGTAGGATATGTTAAGTAGAGGTAGATATTCATCCAAGGATGTATTAACCAAAGGTGGATATAAGCAACCCAGAATGACAAGTGCCCATTCCATCTTCGTAAAAAGATACTGTGATAAATCCATAAAATTTCTTGCGTTGTATTAACACCAATGCCTCATTCAGAGTGCCATGAATTTACAAAATACTGTAATTCTCTGCCAAGCCAACTATATCAAGTCTAAACATTTAAATCTGTGGGAAGTAATTAGGTCAGCAGAGCCACAAGCACTGCATGGTTGCGTGCAACTGAAAGCTAAGCACAGTAATATAGAATCTGTATTAAATAATTTGTCTAAATCATCAGTTTTAACATGTATGCGTAGATCAATATGAGATGGAATTTACATGAAATGCTAATTAAATAGGGACGCTATTTACCACGCGAGCAATGTCGGCTGCGGGGAATGGGAGTAAATGGAATACATAAGAAAACTCACCTCAGGGCTTCAGTCTCAGGGGTACAGCTTCATGTGGATATCAGGCCCAAGGGCGAGGTCGATTGCTTCGGCTGTAGAAACACAGAGGATGATGTCCTGGGGATTTAATGCCCCAGTGGTCTCAAACGCCTAAAGTCAACAATGCTCTCCTCTCGCGGGGTAGTCCTCGATCCTTCGAGTGTGACTTCAGATAAGTCAGCTGGTAATCTGAGGGTTGCGAGGTCCTTTTCTTGTGCTCCACCAGGGGTACAGGGTGCGGAGTAGGTCAAGGAACAGCTTCTCTGTCCATGGTCTTTCTCACACTGACAGGGGCGGGGAGTCGTCCCTTAGTATCCAACCAATCACAGACGCAGTTCCGTGCTGCGGGGAACCTCCCGGGATTCGGTTGGGCACCATTCCTTTCCCCGATCCCATCCCATATCCTGACCCTTTCCAAGTGCTATATAGTCGTATTGGCTTGGTGCTTTCCCCTGATAATCCCTCCCCTTCCCTCGGCTACGAGCCAATTATAGTCCCTATAGGCAGGCCGTTAAATGATTCTGATGAATGGCCAATGACACGAAATCTTAATTAACCAAATATCCAAAATTTGCTTACATATTCACGTGATTGTAGAATTTCCACCGCTTCATTCACCATTCACAATGGTGAATGTGGGGGTGCTGGTTAGTAAATATGTAACTGGCTCACCTCACCACAGATGTAAATTGATAGGCTTTAGATTTTGGATTGTTGCCGCCGGTGGCTATAGTGGTCCTTTTCTTGAACCATTGCTATAAAATACAATTGATAAATACATTAAACTGTGTGACTAGCTTATCAAGATTGTTGCTTTGCTAAATAAATTTTGGGAATTCATGGGCCCATTATATGTACCTCTGTAACCTTTCTCACTACCACCCACGATCGAGATGGGTATGGGGTGCTTAATAATTAAACAAAATCAATCAACCGGTAGGCAAGTTAAATAGGGCTCTCACTATAGTACAATATTTTGTCTTGTATATGTGCCTAACTGCATAGACAATCATGTTATAATTCTGTCAAGACGTTTAGCACAATTAAGGATACGAACTGTTCGTAAACAATACAACCTACGCTTGACCACATTTTTGCGAGGTTTGGGCTGTAAACATATTATCATTTGGCCAGAGTACATTATAAAAGCAGGTATACGTGATCTATCTTATATACTATACGGTCTCACGCTGGTCATGCCCACAAATTAAATATACAATAATCAAATTGTGTTGAATCATATATTATGAAATTTTCAGCAATCAATTTCTCAAACATTTTACCCAGAAGCCTATCTCAAAGCCTACTGTAGACGTAAATAGTTACCTCTTACTGAGCTCGGTATGTGAACTAGCATATCCTTTCTACTGAAAGGTTTAACCTTAATTTACCTGAGGGCCACCATCAATAGTGGCCACGACAGGGGACAAGAAACCGAAGGTTTCTTAAACCGTACCTGCCCATTGATCCTGAGGATTTTTTCCAAATGGATTTTGAACTGGAGTTTTGTCTTGGCCTTTACATCTTCGGCGGGTAAGCGGTTCCACGGGTTTTTAATTCTATGAGTAAGAAAGCATGTGTTTTCTATCCTACACCGTGGCTTGTTGAACTTCAAGCTGTTATCCCTTGAATGCTTTACATTTGACCTTATAAAGAAGTGGTTTGGATTAATATTCTACAAATTTATTTTCGAAGAAATCAGTCCTATGATGTCTCATTTGAAGTGTTGTTACTCATGTGGCCCTCAATCGTTTCTGGTATGAGAGTTGACGTAGTGCTGGGATGATTTTTGTTGCTCTGAGATGAACTTTCTCTAAAGCAGATATAATTAAGATATAATTAATAATAATAAGGGACTCCTGGTTCAACCTTGACGACAAGAGGACAAGGGAGCCTCCGGATTCCGTTCTGTTTCGCGATTTTGGATATTGATACTGCTGTTTGGCATTTCTAGTCTACGGTCCGGATTGTTACTACGCCTGGCGCATATCGCCTTGGGTCACAGGAAAGTAGATTTATTTTGAACGTTTTTTGGCTAGTTCTGCAGGCAGGGTGACCGTGGCCGGCGCTGGCTTGGCCGGAAGTTGGTGGGCTCCTGGTGTGCCCTCAGACGTGGTGGGCGGCTGGCTTATGCTCTGCCAGAGGGCACTGGATGAGATTTTGCTTTTTAGTTGAGGGCCGAGTTTTTTGTTTTGCTACCCAGTGTTCTCTGTGTGGAGTGGAGCCAGTGCTTGTCAATATCCCCAGTTTGCTAACGTTCAAAAAACGGTAGTAACTGAGTGACTGTAACCTACCCACCGGTGCCCACTGGATGGGGGGCGGTGTGCAGGATAAACATTAATGGTAACACTAGCTCTCCACATATGTCAGTTGCTTAATTTAGAAACTGTACTTGCTGTCGGTCTCGAGCCCATTGTTGATGTGACGATGTGTACAGAATTTTGTAACTAGCTCATCAAGATTGTAACTTGCTTAGCTAAATGAATTGTAGGGTTCAGTCCCGGAGCCCATTATGTACCTCTATAACCCTTTCCACTACCGCCCACAGGATGGGTATGGGGTGCATAATAAATAAACTAACTGCTCCTCCTCCCTTTTGCCCATTAACTATTTATTTCCAACGTTCCATCTGTTTCTTGAAATTGTATATAATTATAGCCTAATCTATTGATAGACTTTGCATTTGTTGTGATGTAATCAATATATGAGCTCAAGAAGGGTATGCACGACTTTCGACAATAGTCAAATATATATAGTTTACCATGAGCAAAGATATGGGGACAAATTGTTATTTATTTAGTTTCATTTTATTTAGCCAATACTTCAACTTTACAACAGGCGTAGTTATAAATAAATCGATAAATAATAGAACATGGACAAAGGTGTATATTTACCGCCTTGCAGGGTTCAAACTAACAATAAGATTAAGTGTAACATTCCCCCATCACCTCAACTTCACACACTCCCGAAACACTAGCTTGTTAAGGATTGTTAACTACCCAAACATTATAGCCAAGACTACGCTTCCTCTTGAGTGGTCCAGCCTTCTGTCCCGGGGACGCCTTTGGCCGGCTGGCTACACACTCATCTTGCCTCAAGGTCTCTCCCCAGCAGCCAGTCTTCTGTTGATGTCCCTGACGACGGCTGGCACGTTACGAACGGAGTCGACGACGTAGTGGCTCCCAGCGTCCTGGAGCAGCTCGTAGGCTCGCGATAGCCTCCTCTCCAGGTCGTCTTTGGCCATCGTATCCAACTCCTGCTGTGTGGCTGCTACATAATTTCCCTGCAAAACAAAAAAATATACTTAAAATTTCACATCATATATAAAAAAATGAAATAATGCTTCTTAACATTTTGGGGGATATAAATTAAGTTGAGATTTTTTAGCTGAATTTGCCTGCCAGTCACCTGCTAGAGTGCCTCGCTGGAGACATCAAGCCCTCGACTTATTATTATTATTATTATTATTATTATTATAATATTGTAATTTTTATTCACAAGAAGGTACAATGGGATTGTGAGACTACATAAGATTGATATTTTTACATTCTTGCAAAGCCACTAACACTCATACCGTTTTGGGCAGGTAAATAGGGGAGAACCCCATTACAAGTCGAGAGCTACCCCTATTTTGTTAAAGTTTCTCCAGGTATGGTCAAATGTAGAACTGTTTTTGCATCCACGGCTTTAATGAGTAGATTTCATAGGTATATTATTCTCTGAGAGAAGTATTTCTTGTATGTTTTTGAGTGATACTTGTGAAGTTTGAAGGTGTCTCGCATATGTGTCAATTGTCAGACTAATGTAATTAAACTTACTCAGTATTTTAAATGTCGCCGTGAAAACGGTTTAGTCGCGCCTTGTTTGAAAGTAAAACGAAAAAGAAACTAAATATACAACAAAGTACCAACCGGGTATGGCTATAGAACACTGTGCATGTCTAAGAGGGCTGGTCGAGGACCGGGCCGCGGGGACACTAAGCCCCCGAACTCATCTCAAGGTAATCTCAAGGCATATGTCACATAAGACTGAAGAGTATACCACTGAGACCCGTTCCTTCCCACCGCCTTGTCTCACACCCTTGTCTTCACATTGTTTACAAGTGCTTTGTAGTCGTACTCGCTTACCACTTTCTCCTTATAATTACCGTACCTAAATAGTACGGTATTTATGTACTAAATTTATTGATGTACTAAATAGTACAACAAACGTAAAGTACGTTTGATGGTAATTTTTTTCCCATGAACAACAAGGAAGATTTTGTAGTAAGAACTGTTGAGTATTGAAAGATTTTAGGCTATATGCAGTATTTTGGATTGTTCTACAATAAATGGTATTTGATATTGCGAAAATCTTTGGTTTGATTCCACTGCCTTGCTCCAGAGTCTCAGACCACTCCATCGTCCATTGAACTGGTTGGTTGAGCGACAGCGTTCGATCCCCCTATGCCCCAAGTGGTTGGGCACCCTTCGTCCACTGTCATATCCCAGCTCCTATCCTGTCCTCACATCCCTGCCTAGTGCTATATAGACACATTGGCATACCACTTTCTCATAATTATCGTCCTGCTCTAAAGATTGTCCCATAGCTATATAAGGCAACTGTGATCTCATTGTGTATTTGATATTCTTTTGACAATGTGTAAAGCTTTTGTAGGTCGTATTGCATTGAGGTAAGGTCTCCTCTTGCTAGAAGCCCCGTTGTTGCTAGTGACTGTAGTACTAGTATTTGTACTAGCAAATGGCCACTAGAACTAGACCTCTGGGACTAACAGTACAGGTTGTAAATATTACTGGCGCCATTATTACCAATGTTGTTACCACTGTTCTCCTTAATGGTACTGATATTATGTGTATCTTATTATGACCTGTTCTACCAATCCTTGTACAATTCGTATTATAAACATTGGTACTAGAAATACTAGTATTCGTACTAGAACTACTAGTGTTCGTACTAGAACCACTAGTATTGAACAAATCCAGAGGAGACTTGATGAGGGTTCGAACCTGTGTCCTGGGTGTTCCCAGGCGCGCTCTAGTCAACTGCGCCACATGGTCAAAAGAATTGGTACCTGGGGGTACTAATACACTTCATGGTCGAAATTTTTTTGACCATGTCGTGGCGCAGTGGACTAGAGCGCGCCTGGGAACACCCAGCGCACAGGTTCGAATCCTCATCAAGGCTCCTGTGGATTCGTTCATTGATATATCACGTTACTGTGACTTCTCTGACTACTAGTATTGGTACTAGGATCCAGTGTCACCGCGGCCCGGCCTCTATCAGGCTCCCTAGTTGATGGTCTGGTTAGTTCTGTTCGTGCGCTTTGCTCGCAGGCTGACGTGCGCACCACAGCCTGGTTGATCACGCACCAACTGGAGGCGTTTGTTATTCCCTCTTGTGTTATTGTCTTTGTTACTGGGTCTGCCCAGTGCCCTGGGTATGATAAGCCTAAGGAACCTAGGTGCCTTAGGGTCTTTGAGACCTGGGTATTTGGTACCCGAGACCTGGGTACTAGTACACACCTGGCTGGGGTACTAGTACTAGGTATCTAGGGATACCTCCTCTACACAGGGGAGTATACCTTAGGGATACTGGTGACAAGGTGAATGACGGCGCCCTGAGAACCAGCCTTCAGCACAGTGGTCTACGTCCTCGACTCGCAATCGAGGGGACTCTGGTTCAATCCCCGGGCAGGGCAAAATGAGCATTCGAGCACGTTTTCTTTCACCAAGTGAAGGGGACTTATCAGGAGAAAGCCCCAAGCCATTACTACAATACAGCACTTGGAAAGGATCAGGATAAGGATTTGGGATGGGACTCGGGCCAGATTTACGAAGCAGTTACGCAAGCACTTACGAAGCTGTACATCTTTTTTTCAATCTTTGGCGGCTTTGTTTACAATTATTTAACAGTTAATGAGCTCCGAAGCACCAGGAGGCTGTTTATAACAATAACAACAGTTGATTGGCAAGTTTTCATGCTTGTAAACTGTTTAATAAATGTAACCAAAGCCGTCAAAGATTGAGGAAAGATGTACACGTTCGTAAGTACTTGCGTAACTGCTTCGTGAATCCGGGTCCAGGTCCACCCCTAGGTTTATTGAGGTCCCCCCTAGATCGAGGTCCCCCCTAGATCGAGGTCCCCCCTAGATCAACTATTATATAGTTGATCTAGGGGGATCAACTATTATATAGTTGATGTAAGGGGATCAACTATTATATAATTGATCTAAGGGGATCAACTATTATATAGTTGATCTAGACCTCAAAGAACCTAACAGGTTTCTGGTCACCGACAACGGGAATAATTTACGCACCGTTTTGGCAATAGCGATTGTCCAGCACCCGGCGGCGAGTCCTTCCCGGATGCCATCCACCGAGTCATCCACCTTCACCAGGGCCTCCACGGGGCTGGCATCCAGGCGGATGGCATTCAACCAGACCTGTGTGGGAGACGCTGGAACTAGTGAGGAGGGAAGAGTGGCTGGGCACCTTGGTGACGCTGTTACCGGTGTTGGGGTGGCTCGGTGCTTCCTCCTCCTCCTCCTGCAACACTCTGCCCCTCACTCGCCTCAAATATTCACAATAAATTAGTATGTCACATATGCACTTATTTAATAAGTCAATATTGACTGTAAGAAAGTGCGAGAACGGGTTGCACTCTGCCCCTCACTCACCTACTTACCATGCCTCAGTTGGGTCTACTCTGAATCAGGTTCCAGAGTCGTTGTTGTTGTTGTTATATATTCAGCTGCTCGGAACAAGTTCCAAGTAGCACGGGCTATGGTGAGCCCGTAGTGGACTTAACTGGCACAGGAGCGGTGCGAACCAGAGTCTTCCCTAGACTCACTTAATCACCATACTCAGTGATTCACCATATAGGGCATGGGTCTGGCCTGGGGCACCTCACTCACCATATAGGGCATGGGTCTGGCCTGGGGCACCTCACTCACCATATAGGGCATGGGTCTGGCCTGGGCCACCTTAGTCACTCACCATATAGGGCATGGGTCTGGCCTGGGGCACCTTAGTCACTCACCATATAGGGCATGGGTCTGGCCTGGGCCACCTCGTCTGCAGCAACATAGGCATCAGGGATGTACCCCTGGGCAGCAGCGAGGACCTTCAGCTCCTCCACAATGGGTGATGGGTAACCAGTACATGAACCAATCTTGATACCCATTTCTCGTAGTTGACTCACAGTCTCCACTGTACCTGTTGGCAAGATCCACGTTAACCACGATTCATTAAACCTTTACTCATCCATTTATGAAAGCTGTACAACATGGCGGCTCTGTTTACATTTAATAAACTGGGGCCAGATTCACGAAGCTGTTACTCAAGCACTTACGAACGTGTACATCTTTTCTCAATCTTTGGCGGCTTTGTTTACAATTATTAAACAGTTAATGAGCTCCGAAGCACCAGGAGGCTGTTTATAACAATAACAACAGTTGATTGGCAAGTTTTCATACTTGTAAACTGTTTAATAAATGTAACCAAAGCCGTCAAAAGTTGAGGAAAGATGTAAACGTTCGTAAGTGCTTGCGTAACTGCTTCGTGAATATGGACCCTGTTTACGAGTTTGGAAATTTCACAACTCTATGTTATTATTGTTATAAACGACCTCTTGGTGCTTCGGGGCTCATCAGCTGTTTAAGAAATGTAAACAACGCCGCCATGATTGCTGGAAGATGAACAGGTCTTGTAAATGGATGAATAAGTGATGAGTCTTGTCCCTGGGGCTGTGTACTACCTGTGTTAATAAAGGTCCTATGGTGCAGTGGTAAGCAATGACCAGTCACAGCCGAGTCACGGGTTTGATTATCGCGTCAGGACAGAAGTGCTTGGGCAACATTTCCTTTCACCTGATGACGCTGCTCACCTGGCAGTAAATAGTTACCCGCCGGAGATAGTCAAGTGTTGGGAGTTGCATCCTGGAGAAGGTCAGGATGCAACCCTGACCATAGGCCGAGGGAGGACCTCGATAGTGGGAAGCCATCAGTGACATGAACTTCCCAAAGATGGCGTTCCTTCCTACAGATGTGTTGGAAGCCAGCAAATTTATCACTAGATTAGATTTTTTATTTAGGTAAGGTTAATACATTTAGGTAAGGTTAAGGTAATACATTGAGTTACATACATAATGTTGGATTTGCAGATAGAGCTAGTACATACAATACCTAAAGCCACTAGTACGCATAGCGTTTCGGGCAATCATGTCCTGTCATCTAGTAGCTCAGCTTGCCCTGAATGTGCAGTTCCTCAGCAGGTAACACATTTAGTAGCCAGGGCCATAACTGGTCCCCTTGGCTCAGTCATATGGTCATTCTGAGCTCACGTTGTCGGGGACAGGATGCCTGTACTTAGCCTTATCGAGGTCCGCCTAGGCCGACTACTACTGACCTTCCCCAGGATGAAACCCACAATAGTTGCCTAACTCCCGGGTACCTATTGACTGCTAGGTGAATCTATTAACATTAGATGCAGAAAACGTGCCTAACAATTTGTCCCGCCTTGGAATCGGACCCAAGATCCCCCCGATTGTGAGTCAAGACCGAAGCCAACTATGCTAGGAGACCTTGGGGTGTACACCTTGTAAAACTTACCATCGATCAAGGAGGAGTAGTTATGGAGGGCAGCAATGTTCTTGGGGACAAACTTGGCGTACATGCGGTCGACGTCGGCTGGGGAGGGCGGGGCGCCCTTGGCCTCACACCAGCGGGCGCGGAGCCCCTCCGCCTCCACCATCTTCCCTATGTGTGCCTGATACAGTGTACTCACATGTTTTATCTCCATACTAAATCAACTCAATCATCCATGACATACAGCTTTCAATATAAAATTTCATAATAATTAATAATAGCAACAACAATAAATAATAATTTTAGCATGAGGTGTGAGCCCGTAGTGAACTTACCTGGCACAGGAGCGTGGCTCTAACTGTTGAAAAGCCGGGGTGTATTCATACACCTTAGGCTTATATCAACCCTTCCCAGGATACAGCCCCACAACAGTTGCCAAACTCCCAGGGACCTATTTATTGCAATGTGAATAGAGACATTAGGTGAAAGGAAACGTGCCCAACCATTTTTGTCCCCCACGTTAATCAAGCCCGGGATCCTCGTTAATGAGTCGAGAACAAAGCCATGGCGGCTTAGTCTGTATTTAGTAATCAGTTTACGTGCTTCAGAGCTCGTAAACTTTAATAAATACATATCAGCCGGCATGGTCGAGGCAAGAGGAGAATATATCGTAAATGGAGAAAGGAAGGGGAAGGGAACTATCGGGATAAAGCGCCAAGGCATTACGACTATATAGCACTGGGAAGGGGACAGGAAAAGGATTTGGGGATGGGACGGGGGGAAGGAATGGTGCCCAACCATTTGGCCGGTCGGGGATTGAACTCCGACCTGCATGGCGTGAGACCGTCGCTCTACAGTCCATCCCCAAGTGACGGAACGGACAAATAATGTGCGGGTTCTCAAGTAGGTTAATAGCCATCGTGAGCGAGAGATGTACAACACCACGGGAGACATCTCCCGTCACGCAGGGTGCAGTTGCACCTCCACAGATCTACAGTATCATCTACTGATACTGGTTATGGCTCAAAAGGGCCACCGCTTACGGGCTATTCATGCCCGTGCCACCTTTTGGATGGATTAATCTTCATCATTCATTCATCGAGATGTACAATGGTTACCCGCTTGTGGATGCCCATGGGAGCCCTGGCCTCGTCGCTGGTCACCGGCACGCCCTCCTCCAGGAACAGCTCCATGAAGGTCCCGGCCGGACACATCACGCCGCAGTCCACCACCGTCCCTGTCACAGGTTAAACACACGCCCCCCGGTTATGACAACTTTCTTTTTATTTTATTTGTTTATTTATTTATATACAATTAATTACATTGGGTTTATGAGAGTACATAGCATGATGTGTTTACATACTTGTAAAGCCGCTAGTACGCACAGCGTTTCGGGCAGATTCTTAACAAGCTTAGGTATACGCAACAATGTGCTGCTTCCTTATTCTATATGGAGGATTATAGAAGCTCAAGAGCTTCAGTAGCTGTGAGTTCATCTAATATTCCCATGAGAAAATTCCCTAGGGGTATGAGGTGGGCGCGAACCTACGATGTTGGCATTGCCCAGCCGCATACTCTACCACTAGACCACCGCTGACTAGTAAAGTCATGCAACCGGATTTTTAATGAAATTACAGGTAATCTGAAGGCTACTGAAGCCAGTCCAGCTTTTACGTATGACCCACAAGCACTCGGTCATATGGCCCATATTTACGTATGACCCACAAGCACTCGGTCATATGGCCCATATTTACGTATGACCCACAAGCACTCGGTCATATGGCCCATATTTACGTATGACCCACAAGCACTCGGTCATATGGCCCATATTTGATATATATCACATGAATATGATTTATGTGTGTTTAATATCCCCCATCTCGCAAGTTGGTCATAGGCGGAATCAGGAGAAAACACAAGATGGAAATCTAGCCTACATTAGCCTGCAGTAGCAAACTCTGGGTAGAACACAAGAATAATTTCCAATGCAATATTTGTGAGTGTTTAAAGTAATTACAGAGCTCAAAGTATCTCATGCCACTGGGTTGAAAATAATTGATAACAAGGCACTCACAAATATAACAACAGAAATCGAAATTGAAATTGAAAAAAGTTTATTGAGGTAAAATACACACAAAGGGATGAGATAGCTCAAGCTATTCTCACCCCGTTCAGTACATCGTGTTAATACATACATAGACACACATCACAAGCAATAAACGTATTACCGAACATTCTGAGAGATAAACATATACATTTCCTCCTTTACACAAGTATATATAACAACAGAAGTACACTTACATCGCATCAGGCTTGGATACCCATGTGCATGGGAAATAGGCTTACAGGTTCAGGAAGATGAGGGGAAATGCCCGACAGACCACTGGAACATTATCTAACACTGCACTGTTACAAACCCATTAAGATTTCAACTTAGATTCAACAGAGCAGAAGTTATTTAAACACATAGAACAAAAATCTTACTGAAGCGACCATACGAGTCATAAATACTCATACTCCGCCTAAGTAAAACAGAAACAAGCAACACTTAGTGGGCCAGCCAGAGGCTTAGGGCCCGCGCAGGAATATCCCTGCAAAAAAAAAAAAAGGTGACATACTGACCTGCCCAATCGAAGATGACTGCCTTGACCTTGCCACGGTATCGCCTGGTAACCTGGTATTCACTCCGCGGGTTGACCAGCACTTCGTCTGTAGAGAGGGAAACAATGGCTATTACTTCCAGTTAATGCTTCTCCGTATATTACATCAATGTCAATGAAGAAATAATGTGTTCATATTAGACCTAGAAGTGATCTACACATCCCTTATACTGACGTCACACAGTCATCTGGTTTCTGGTTCAACCTTGAAGCCGAGCGGACGTCTGGACACCTCCTCCGCCTGGGAGCCGCCGGATCACGTCTTGTTTTCGCGTTTTGGCTTTGCTACTGCCGTTTGGCATCCCTTTTCAACGGTCCGGTTGTACGACGGACCGTTGTATGACGGACCGACCCACCAACCCCCGGCTTGGCCGAGAGGTGCCGGGGGTTGGCGGGTCTTGATGGGCTCTGGTGTGCCCTCAGCCGTGGTGGGCGGCCGGCTTCTGCTCTGCCGGAGGACACTGGATGACTTTTGCGTTTTGGTTGGGGTCCGAGTTTTGGTTTTGCTACCTGGTGTTCTCTGTGTGGGGCGGGGCCGGTGCTTGTCACCCTACGGGACTCCTGGGACTCCCCAATCATCTGCCCGTATGTGCGTTTATTTGCCGTATGGCATATTAGTTTCTAGTGATTGGCGTCACTCGTTTCGCGTTTTGCCTTGGCGTTTCACCTTTCCGGGCTTCGCGATTCACCCATCACGGGTACGCCGGGGCGCATCCGATCCCACGATCGTCGTCGCCCCTAAATCAACAACAACAACACAGTCATCTGTTAGTATTTACGTCGCCTTTTTGCAGGCGGGTCTAAAACCCGTGCCAGTGAAAATTATGACGTCATAATGACGACACATTCCTCATACACAGCGTATATAAAACACAATTCCTTATCTTTTACTTTCGTTAGATTGTGTTGGGTTAGAATTGGTGTGATTAAAAATTCGGGTTGGCGTAAAGGGGTACATACATTTCTCGTGTTTTAGACTCTAAACCCCAGACAATAAGGGAACCATATACGTCATCCCTCTCTTTTAAACAAACGTAACCTAACCGACCACAACTCCTGAGTCCTGACTACCTTAATGATAGTTCTGTTACTCATTGGCCATGCGGCCCAGTCTCTAACTAGGCCTTCTGGGTAGTGGTCTGGTCAACCAAGTTGTTAGACACAGTTGTTGTTGTTTAAGATTCAGCTACTGGGAACAAAAAGTTGCAAGTAGCACGGGCTATAGTGAGCCCGTAGTGGACTTCCTACGTTCCCACCCACCGAACAAGTCTATGTGGGTGGGAACGAGGACAGGTTGACTAGTTTAGCAGTTACCAGGGATGATGTTATTAAACAAATAGAGAAACTCAAACCAAACAAATCCCCAGGGCCGGACGAAGTGTTTGCCAGGGTGCTTAAAGAATGCAAAGAGGAGTTTGCGAGCCATTGTCTACCATATTTAATAAATCATTAGAGTCAGGCTGAGTGCCAGAGTCGTGGAAGGTTGCTAATGTGGTACCAATTGGATGGAGGGGGGGGGGGCAGTGTGCAGGATAAACACATCAATTGTGACACTTGCTCTCCACATATGTCAGTTGCTTAATTTAGAAACTGTACTTGTGGTCGATCTCGAACCCATTGATGATGTGACGACTTATACTGAATTTTGTAAGTAGCTCAAGATTTGTATCTTGTTCAGCTAAATTAATTGTGAGGTTCAGTCTCTGAGCCCACTATGTGCCTCTGTAACCCTTTCCACTACCGCCCACAAGATGGGTATGGGGTGCATAATAAATAAACTAAACCAAAAACTAACAGCTAACTTCTTAATCTAACTGATAAAAGTAAGAGTATTAATAGGTACATTGTAGCAGAATTGGAATTTAACATAATAACTATAATATAAATCGATAGCATTACTTATATTGGTGACATTTTGCACGTCTTAAGTACTAATATTGAGGAATTGGGTAGTACAAGATACAGTGTGAGTTTAAAGCACAAGGTAGGAAACTATGAGGATGAAATTACGTAATTTTTGGTTTTACTTTTGAATAAGCATAGATTGGAATTTTGTTTAATTCATTAGAGAGAAAGAGATCCATACACTTGGTCCTTTTAGTTGCAATGAGCGTTTGCACAGATTTAGCCTGACTCTAGGAATATTAAAGATATATTTATTTCTGGTGTGGTGGTCATGGGTTCTATTATATCTATCACGGAATCAGTTTCATCTCAAGAGTAGCATTCAGGAACAAGGTATTGTACATGTAAATAGCACAAGAGAATGTGTGGAGAGAGTGTATGTTTAGCATGTTTAGGGACTTAAACAGAGGGGCTGTGTGTTGTCTGAAGACAGTTTGTTATAGTTGCTATAAATGACTTGATATCAACATTAAACTGTGTAACTAGCTTATCAAGACTGGAACTTGCTTAACTAAATGAATTTTGGGGTTCAGTTCTGTATATGTGCCTCCGTAATGTTTTCCAATACCACCCACCGAATGGGTCTACTGCTACTCACAGGTTGGGTATGGGATCTACTGCTACTCACAGGTTGGGTATGGGATCTACTGCTACTCACAGGTTGGGTATGGGATCTACTGCTACTCACAGGTTGGGTATGGGATCTACTGCTACTCACAGAATGGGGTATGGAGTCTACTGATACTAAATGCATCAGAATTATTGTAAATTTGACACGATATTTACCTTAAAAATGCAGAACTGCCCGGGGGAAGCCTATGCTACATAACCTTGCATGTTTAATTCACCACGAAAGCCATAATAACTGCACCATCTCAATAGGAAGCGTCTTTTCCATGTGAGTGGCACCAAATTTGTTATAAAATGCTTGTGCACGGTTTATGAAGGAGGCAGCCATATAGAGCACACAGCCCCCGGGAGAGGCTATGTAGCCAGCCCGTCCCCTCCAGCGTCACTTATTAACTGATGTACTAAACTGCCCAAACTTAACCCGATTATGGACACACGAATAAAAAACTGGGCATTACGTCAATTTTGTGTGGCGCTATGGACTAAGTACAAAATGTGACGTTCTACTCATGAAGACGAGTTGCCAATGTACCGTCTGTGTCACAGATAATTATAGCTTTAATATATCGTGCATAATTACATTTTTACTAAAATCACTATTATTATGATGTCTGCAAGTGCCTGTCAACTAAAGAATGTACTGAAAGCGGGATTAGGAGCTGATGCACGAGGCAATGTTCACAAAACTGGCGCACTATATGCTCAGATGACTCGTCTTGCAGTAAATTGGTGACATGTATACTTACCCTTTATATGGTGCATCTCCATATACCTCGGAGAGAGTGAGTTGACGACCCGTACAAGAGCGATGACCCTGAGCCACAGGTGTTCTCTCACACACTATACTCCCAGGAGACACTCAGAGCGTGGCGACAGCCGCAGATATGAGGCCAGAATCACGAAGCAGTTACGCAGGTACTTACGAACGTGAACATCTTTCCTCAATCTTTGACGGCTTTTGTTACATATATTAAACAGTTTACAAGCCTGAAAGCTTGCCAATCAACTGTTGTTATTATTATAAACAGCCTCCTGGTGCTTCGGAGCTCATTAACCGTTTAATAATTGTAAACAAAGCCGCCAAAGATTGAGAAAGATGTATAGGTTCGTAAGTGTTTGAGTAACTGCTTCGCCAGCGCTGGGGAACTGAGCCCGATACTCGTAGCTGCGGGAGAGGCGATCAACGGCCTTGTGAACAATGATGGCACGAGGTGGCGCTGCCTCTCCTTGCACCTCATTGGTTTTTACTCCTGTCGCCAGCGACGGCTGTATAGTTTATTGTGCACTCCATATTCATCCTGTGGGGGTAGTTTATTGTGCACTTCATACTCATCGTTTGGGAGGTTGTTTATTGTACACTCCATACTCATTACTCATTCTGTGGGGGGGGGGGGTTAGTTTATTGTGCACTTCATACTCATCCTGTGGGGGGTAGTTTATTGTGCACTCCATACTCATCTTGTGAGGGCCCCACAAATTACCCCCTCCCCCACCTATAGGTGGGAGGGTAATTTATTGTGCACGTCATATTCTTGTGGGCGGTAGTTTATTGTACACCCTATACTCGTGTGAGTGATAGCACAAAAGGTCTTAAAAATCACTTCCCAGTGGATGTTTACAACTTTTATGAATCATGTTCACATCCAATATCACTAACAAATGATTTACTTTGGTTCCAGGGGTGTTATTTTCTAATTGGTTATGCCTCCAAAGTGTAAAAAGAGCTAGCTATTCCCCTTAAATTTTTCCTCGACATTTGCCCCCAGACAGCTTAGAGAAGACGTCTTGAAGGTACCTAAAGGTTGCCGACTTGTGAAACAATGTCAACTCAAACAAATCCACAAGGGCTGTGACAAGGATTCAAACCTGCGTCCGGGAGCATCCCAGACATTGCCTTAATCGACTGAGCTACGACAGGGTTAAAAAAAAAAAAAAAGTTGAAACCGAAGTTCTACTTGACTTACTGGATCCTGCAGCCTCTCCGAGGCATCTTACCTTGAGGTGCTTCCGGGGCTTAGTGTCCCCGTGGCCCGGTCGTCGACCAGGCCTCCTGGTTGCTGGACTGATCAACCAGGCTGTTGGACGCGGCTGCTCGCAGCCTGACGTATGAAAATCCTGGCACAAACCAGGATTTTACACAACTCTCCCCTGCACTCGAGCTATGTCAATAAGCCGTTCTGCCTCTTCGCCCATACATCATTACACACAGAAATCACACTAACGTGATGTATCCAATGAACAAATCCACAAGGGCCGTGATTAGGATTCGAACCTGCGTCCGGGAGCATCCCAGACACTGCCTTAATACATCACTCATCACATTAGTGTGATTTCTGTGTGTAATGTCAACTCTAGGTAAGGAGTTGGCAGCCTTCTGCTACCTTCAAGACGTCTTTCCCAAGCTCTACGAGGCCAAGAGCAAAGCAAAGTTTGGGGGAGTATAAATAGCCATTTTCTATTCTGTTGGAGGCATAAGCAATCAGAAAATAACACTATTCAGGAAAATAAACTTTCCTTATTAAGACTACTCATAGCCCAGTCAATTGAGCGTCGGTCTAACACCCGTGGGGTCCAGGTTCGAGACTCCTACAGCCCAGGTGAATGGAATGGACTATCCAGGAGCAAAAATTGTTTCATTGTATAATTAATAAATTTAGCTAGTAACAACAATTTTTGCACTGGAACTCCCGAGACTATATTACACACAGAAGACGAGTCATTTTGGCAATTCTTATTTTATTGAATATTACATTGTATAGTAGTGTTACCGCCCACAGGATGAGTATGGGGTGCATAATAAATGAACTAAACTAATAGTAGTATTGCTGTTTATAATTTTAGGCTACTCGGCTTATATTTTTATCACGTACTGTATTTACCCGTGTTTCTTAGAAGCAAGATTTGAAGGACCAATAATTTTAGATATAACTTGCAATAAAATTATGTCATTTCATACAACATAAATTTAGACATTTAAATTATTAAAATTCACACAGTGTAAGATATAATGTTCCAGTGTACAGTATCTGGTTTTGTCCAGACACTAACATTTTTTATCAACTAAATCCCCATACAAACTAAACTGCCAGATATACCTGTAGTAATATTGCATTCAAGCTGCGACATTTGTTAATTTATTGATTATGTTAGTTGCCTCCATGTTTTGTTTGACATTTCATTGTGATTAGAACTAATAAATCATTTGTCAGTCAAATTGTTATGAAATCCCTTTTACTGAACTCCAAAAGTAATATTAAGTTTAAATCCTTGCCAAGCTTACAGTAAGTAAAGACAATGTTGAACAATCTTGGGCCATCAAAAAAGGATCCTAGGTGTCAGCCAAGAATTGTCAACTGAATTTGAAGTAAAATCAAGGGATGGCACTGTGTGCCAGCAAAATATTTGTGTGTGCCAACTTTGGCATGCATGCTATACATTTCCCACCTTTGATCTAGGGAGACCTCAATAAGTTTAAGACTTCCTGTCCCCAACAATGGGAATGCCATATATAATTGGGTTAGATAAAATCATATTTTCTATATACTGTACAGCATTTAATTCTTAAAAAGCAACATTTACACCATTTTTATCTAATAAATCCATAGAATTTCTTGCTATAGAAACAGCGAAGTGAATCAATCCCTCATTGTCTTGACGAATGGATCATCAGGACGGTAAACTGAAAAAGAAAGTAACATGAGAAGATAAAACTAAGTACAGGGTAAAAAAATTTGCAAAAAAAAAAAAAAAAAATACAATTAATTTAACACTTTCGCACTTTAGATTAGAGATAACTCGTCACCGTTTTTTCTTACGATTCCGCATAACAGACTACTTTTGTAGTCCATCGAAAAAATATTTCTATAAATTCCATTTTCTAACCGAAATGGATGGGGATACTCTCAGATTTTTCTCCATGAAATTCCCGTTCTCCCTCACCGAACACATGGCATCTCGGCATCATTTTGATCACATGGTCAAATATTATGAGTTTGCAAGAAAAACCCACAAATGGACCAAGAAGATCACTTTCTATTTTCTGCAAATGGCCATGCACAATGCATACGCATTGTATAACCACTACTCAACAGATACAAAAAAACTAACACTATTAGAGTTTCACGCAGTAGGAATAAAAGCCTTATTGGCGTGGAACAGCGAGGAATGGCCAACAACAACAAGCATACCACATGTTCCCGACATAGATGCCAGCGCAGCTCCTCCTGCTGACGCGGCAGTTTCAACACCCGGCCCATCTGGTGCGAGGCGTCCTCTGTTCACCTCAACACCTCAAGCCCACTCATCAACCACAAATTCTGAAATGGACATTGAGGACATAGAACCACTTGATGTTTCTGATTTCATAGAAGATTCTACTACAAGTTTGGTGGTTCCTGTAGAAGACAATATTCCTCCAGTGCATCCAAGAAATACAAGAATTATAGATTCAGAACAACGTCTCAACTACAAGTTGACGCATGAACTCGTGCACTTGGCTAAAAAAAGAAGATGCCGTGTTTGTTTCAAGTCTGGCAAAAGGAGGGACGTGATATATGGATGTAAAACTTGTGATGTGGCACTGTGCGCTGCGCCTTGCTACACAAGGTACCACCGAAGAAAGATATTTTGGGTGGAGAAAAAATAACCACCGGCAACAGCTTCACTCCACCTAAGAAACACCAGATGAGCAACTTCAGGATCAGAAGCCTGAAGATGGTGGAGTGAAGAAAAAATGCTCAACTGTTGATCTTCAATCAACATAGACAGGGTAAGTACACCTATTTGGAATTTTTTATCATCTACAAGAAGTTATATTATATACGTTTTGTAGAGAATTTATTTGCGAATTTTTTGGTACCAGAATGAATATTATATCACATAAACTTCTATGAGTAAAAAAAAAAACACAAAGTATGTTTGGGGGTGTGGCGGGTGTGGCTCTGGGTGTGGCGGGCATGTGGCAGTGGGTTCCCTTTAGCCGTTGATATATCCAACACGTGGGAAATATTTGTATGTGTTATGTATATGTCTGTGTAGGGAATTTTACTGCGATCACTGTCATACAAATTATAAAATGTTTCAACAAGTATAAACATGACAAACATCAAACGAACAAAAACAATGCGTTCGTTTCTGCCGCGAACGCATACTGAGCGACGTGGTTCTATATTTGGCGCTTCTCATACACATGCTTTGTACAATTGTTATACATTTCATCTTATAGAAAATTTTATTGCGAACACATTGGTATAAAAAAGAAATACGTACATAGAAAAGTAGGGTCAGGAAACGTATAAATGTATAAACTTTCCAAGCATGATTTCCCCCCTGTGTTTTCGCCAGTGCGCTCGCGGCTAACTACTCTCCACTTCACACACTCTTGCGGGTGGGCAATTACCTATATTAAACATTCATATGCATATGTCCGTGTAGAGAATTTTATTGCGATTCCAATGATACCAAAATTAGCGATGTAGGACAACTGTAGGCTTCGCAACCATTAAGAGAGTGGAAACATTTTGTTGCTGTTTGGCGCTCTCGGCGAGTGATCTGCATAGTTTTTTATTTGGTGTTGATACTCCTTATGCTTGGGCGGCATTTTATAGGTATGCTCTTATAGACAATTTCATTGCGAACACAGTGATACCAAATTTAAATACGTGCGCCTTCAATTATTGTCAGGACAGTCAAAAGAATGTACACTTTTTCGGTCTTACCGCGTAGGCGCGCAAAGTGCTGAAAGCATCTGGGGTATTGTTTTTTTTTGAGCGCCGAGAGCGCGAAAGTGTTAACTTCTGTACCTGAACCCATCTTCTAATCTACCTAGTGTACTGTACAGTACTACAATTTCAACACTGCCGAAACCACATTAAAATCAACACACTTTCTTGGACGGATGGTTATCAGCCATGATAGATTGGGTGGGTTGCTAAGGTTCGAATACTTATGGCTCGGTAAATCCTTTTTACAATTTATACTCGTGAAATCATGAGGACAGGCAGAGTAT